CAGGGCGGCAGCGGCCTGTCCTGCCGTGGCCTCCCCCGCCCCGCCAGCAGAGACGTTACGCCGGCCGGCCCGAGGCGGGGGTTGCGTGCTGCCCGGGGGAGGACGACGGTGGAACTGACCAAGACCCCGGGGCCACCCAGGCATCTGTCCCGATCACAGGCAAATGGCAGGCACCTGCACCCCCACAGGCTGAGCCTCAGCCGGCCACTAGCAAGCTGAAGGCACTCACCTAGTGCCACACAGCTTTTTATTCTGCAAATAAAACTCAACAATGAGGAAAAAACAAGTGCACTTGCTTTGGAGTAGGAGGGGATACCCGGGCATGGTAACAAGTAGTCCCCTAAAGCAGCCACACACAGAGAAGCGTTACAGGGGTGGCTGTATTTTTCTCACATACAATATCACAGTACGTGTCTACACGGTGCCAGTTGCCAGCACACAGGTCACACTCGGTGTTTTAAACCAGACCTATTACTAGTTCAGAGGAAAATGAAAAAAATCCCTACACGCACCCACAAGCCACATATTTAACAGTCCAAGGCCATCCCCTTGGACAGACACCACTCGCAAAGGGCTCTTGCTGTCCACACGTAAGGCACCTTTCAACCACAGTAAAGCTCCAGATGAGCGGAAGAGACACCAAGAATGGCATTTCCAGGCTCTCCCAGCCACATGTCAGTTGTCTTCCTCTGAGCTGACACAAGTAGACCAGGAAGAGAGAATCCATCTCTGTGACCAAAGCGCTACCACAGTCCCCTTTGCAACAGGGGTAGCTTGCCTGGCCTGTGAAACATCCTGTTTGCCTTGGTTCTGCAGAATTCCGAAGAAATATCACATCATGGAGTTACATTCCAACTTGGAATCCGACCTTCTCAGTAATAGTTACAACTGAATGTTTAATTTATTGCTCATTTTCAAAAGGGACAAAGGCCACAGATGCTTCCCGAGCTGTGCCATGTCCCTCTGGTTAAATTATTCTCCGTAGCAACTGTCTCCCAAGTGCAAAAATACAAAGTTCCACTCCTGCACTGTTTCCACAAACATCCTCAGCATCTTTCTGGGTTTGGTTTGTTCCATCTCACTCTGGAACCCTTTACCTTAGGTACTGCCTTTGTCACTGAATTCAGAAATCTGTTAATGCTGTCCTTCCTAGCCACAGTGCTACAGCAGCTATCCTTGCTCATTTTCCCACCGATTTAAAAAAAAAACAAAAAACCCACAACATTTGAAGTTGTTGTTTTGTTTTTTTTCTGCAGGGGTAAGAGGAAGAAAAGAAGGGCAAGATTTATGAGAGCTATTATGAACAGCCTTATTTTCATCCCTCCCAGTTTAAAAGGAATTTAGTTTCAAAAGAATGCATTTTTTCCCCTAATACTCCCTTGCTTTGCTGGAAACAAAATCACTCTGTCAGCCAGAGATCAGGATATTAAAATGACTATGCTATTTTTAGCATCATTAAGAAAAAAAGACAATTACATTTCTAAAATTCTATTGTTGTTTTAATAAGGTGTTACTAAGAGGGTGCTACACATTAGGGCTCTTTAAAATACTTGTGCCTTGACTGTGCTCCTTTAATTATCGCATCGCCTTGGTACACATACAGGCAGAGGAATTCTGTCACAGTATCCGCTCATGCATTCTCGGCCATTTGGCTATTACGTCAAAGCAAAGCTACCGAATCACGTGTGCGCAGGGCGGGAAGGAATCGCCAGGCCACCAGGCCAGAGCTCATTTTGCTGGGTTATTTAATGCCAAGGAAGGGCAGTCAGGTCATAATCGGGTATAATTAACACTGCCATACCCTGAATCCTCTTTATATTCAAGTCACATGACAACCTCAGGAAATGAAAAAATCTTTCCTGCTATTGAAACACCAAACAACACCTCCAGCTGAT